GGTGCCCCACCACCCATTTTTACACTTTCAGCCCTAGCATGGGTTCTTTTCTTCTGGAATGAATCAAAAAGAGGAATTGAGTGAGTTAAAAGTGGGTGGCATAGCTATTAGTGCTAGTACAGCTGGAGGAAAGGGTGGCGCAGTGTCCTGAGTGACTGAGTATGCAGTGTAGAGACCATGCAGTGTTGGTTGTGTGGTGTGTTGAGTTGGCTAACAGTAAGTGAGGGAATATTTTGCATGCAATAATGAGGGTGGTAGACTATGAGCCCTTGTCGGAGATAAACTGAGTGTGAGTAGCAGAATGAATATGGTAATTGGCTTTCTTCTTATATTGCTGAGCATTTCACCAGACTGTGGAGCCCTCACTGACCCAGGTGGCAACCTCAGACGAGGCTGGCAGGGACTGGTGGCATAGTTTCCACTGCCAGTCCTGAGGAAAGCCTTCCTCTGCCCCATCCCAACCTCCAGATCCCTGTTGGCAAACCAGGATGACTGCATGTTACTGTCTGCCATCACCAGAGCAATTCTTCAGGGCAGTTCCAGACCGATGGCACTTGACCGGGTGCTCAACAGCTTTTAATCATGCTACCATTTCCAGGAAACCGGGTGTATTCCAGCTTAGAATACCGAGTCAGTAGGTTAGGAAGGCAAATGCAACTTTGGCATTTATTTTGAGAGGACTTGAATATAAAAGCAGGGATGTACTTTTGAGACTCTATAAGGCTCTGGTCAGGCCACATTTGGAGTATTGTGCACAGTTTTGGGCCCCATAACTCAAGAAAGATGTACTGGCACTGGAGCAGGTTCAGAGGAGGTTCAGGAGAATGGTCCCAGGAATGAAAAGCTTAATATATGAGGAACGTTTAAGGACTCTGGGTCTATTCTTGATGGAGTTTAGAAGGATGAGGAAGGATCTAATTGAAACTTACAGAACTCTGAATGGCCTGGACAGAGTGGATGTTGGGAAGATGTTTCCATTGGTAGGAGAGCCTAGGACATGAGGGCACAGCCTTAGAGTAAAGGGAAGACCTTTTAGAACAGAGATAAGGAGAAACGTCTTTAGCCATAGTGTTGAATTTATGGAATTCACTGCCGCAGAAGGCTGTGAAGGCCAGGTCATTGAGTGTATTTAAGACGGAGATAGATAGGTTCTTGATTGTCAAGGGTTACGGGAGAATGGGATTGAGAAACTTATCAGCCATGAATGGCAGAGCAGACTCAATGGGCTGAATGGCCTAATTTCTGCTCCTATGTCTTATACATATATAATAGAATACATAGAATCCCTACAGTATGGAAGCATCCATTCGTCCCATCAAGTCTACACCAACCCTCTGAAGTGCATCCCACCCAGACGCACCCCCTAGCCTATCCCTGCATTTTCCACCCTAGGCACTATGGGCGATTTAGCATGGCCAATCCACCTAACCTGTACATGTTTGGACTGTGGGAGGAAACCAGAACACCTGGAGGAAACCCACGCAGACATGGGGAGAATGTGCAAACTCCACACGGACAGTTAGCCAAGAGTGGAATCAAACTGGGTCCCTGGTGCTGTGAGGTAGCAGTGCTAGGCACTGAGCCACCGTGCCACCATATTGAGTGCTTCTGCCTATGGTAAGTGGGAGAACAGGATGGGCAGGCAGCAATAAAGGTACGCTGCATGGTTAATGAGCTGAATTTGGGATGAGTGTGTGAGAAAACCCACTGGATCTTGCAGACAGAAACCCTGCATGAATCTTAATGAAAATGATATTTTATCAATTTCTTGTAAGATTCAGCCCACTGAGTTACTCTTAACCCCATAATACAACAGTAGCATGAATACATGGTTCATGATAATATTCAAAAATAGCATTTAAAAATAATAAACACACACAAAATAATGGAAACTAAATAAGAGCCTAAATTTTCCAAATGGCATGTGAAAACTTAGGGATAATGTTGTGGGTAAAAAACCAAACTCATCCTAATGAGAGTCCAAAATGACGCTTTTTAGTGGCTGTAACCACGGTACATTATACTTCCTCATTGCCTTCAATCTACTTGAATCATATGGCAACCTTTAACCAATTCCGGTTGTCTATTGTCCAGTTTGCTGGGATTTACCTCATTCATTTCCAATCTAATTACACAATCATAGTTAGTGTACATCCAGTAATGGTTTATGTTCGAAAACTTGCAGTGTTACTTCTGGAATCTCTCAATAATTTATCCTTGGTTCCTGTCTTGTCCACACATGGCCCTTGACAATACATACTACAGACATAAAGATAGCTTCTACTTTAAATAACAACCATTTTGTACTCCCCATCTCTTTGTCTCAGCTCTTTATTGTCTCAGTGCTATGAAAGGGCTTCTCTGATATTCCATCTTGAATGAGTTGTCACCCTTGCAACTAAACAATGGGGTGATATAGGCCATGTTCAGCCACCACTGCAAACTCTCAACCAACTCACCCTCACATCTACTGTATCAGGCTAAACCACACAGTACATCTTCATTAATTTTGAACTGAGATTCTGATCCTTTATCCTCTTCATCATGAAGGTTGCACCCCTGATTGACAACAACTGCCTTTTCTCTGCCATTGGCCATCTTGTACTGAAAGCAGTGTGATTTAGGTATGTTAATATAATTTTTTTTTAGAATTCAGACCAATGGTATATTGGTGTTGGTCTATTTTTGTGTAGGGATTGAAAAATTAATTAGGTCAGCCTTTCCAAAACTATATTTTTAAATCAGTGTATATCAAAGAGCAGAACTTCAAGGCCTTTTGGAGTGTTACAACAGTAGAGAGAAAATATTAAGCCCTTTGCTGTAACAGAATCTAGGATGAGCATGTTTGGTAAAAAAAAATTAGTTCAAAAGATTTTGGGTTCAGTTTGTAGGAGAGCTGACTGGGGTCAAACAGAAGTATAGTCTCTCCTAGAAAAGGAGATGTTAAGGAAATGAATTAACCCAGTTAAAGAACATAATTTGTGCAATTTCTGGACTAGAAATGTAAGCTTCTTCCACCGTTGCCTTTTGAGATAGTGATGATTGCAGGTTTGGAAGATGTTACCAAAGAAGCTTTGGTGAGTTGCTATAGTGTCTCCTAGATACTACAAATTGCAGCTGTGTTCCACCACTGTTGGAGGCAGTGAATATATAAAGCTGTGGACTGGACGTCCATCAACCATGCTTTTTCCTGGATGGTTATGCACACAATAAAAATGCCATTTTTGATCTTGATTTTGATCTTGATACTTTTCCCTTTTATTGGTAACAATGATGGCCACAGTAAAATGGGACTGCTTGTCCTGAAATTCATCCATCCTGGGACTGCGGAGTGGAGTTAAAAGTGTAGTTGAGTTGGTTGCAAAAATAAAATGATTGTTATATAAAAAGAATGATGGAATGTTGTGAAAGATTCTGGAGAGAATATGGACACAAGAATGTGTATGGAAATGCCAAGGTAGGTCATGTAAAATCTCTAAAATAAATCAGGCTATTCTTTGTGTGGTAGCAAGATTTTCCCCTGTTTAAAATAAAAAGCATGTCAACACATAAGTCCGCTGAAACCTCATCTCATATCACAACAACTTTACAGTGCAGAGATAGTAGGAACTGCAGATGCTGGAAAATCTGAGATAACAAGGTGTAGAGCTGGATGAACACAGCAGGCCAAGCAGCATCATAGGAGCAGGAAGGCTGACGTTTCGGGCCTAGGCCCTTCATCAGAAATGGGGGAGCGGAAGGGGGGTCTGAAATAAATAGGGAGAGAGGGGGAGGCGGATAGAAGATGGATAGAGGAGAAGATAGGTGGAGAGGAAACAGACAGGTCAAAGAGGTGGGGATGGAGCCAGTAAAGGTGAGTGTAGGTTGGGAGGTAGGGAGGAGATAGGTCAGTCCAGGGAGGACGGACAGGTCAAGGGAGCGGGATGAGGTTAGTAGGTAGGAAATGGGGGTGCGGCTTGAGGTGGGAGGAGGGGATAGGTGGGAGGAAGAACAGGTTAGGGAGGCAGGGACGAGCTGGGCTGGTTTTGGGATGCAGTAGGGGGAGGGGAGATTTTGAAGCTTGTGAAATCCACATTGATACCATTGGCCTGCAGGGTTCCCAAGCGGAATATGAGTTGCTGTTCCTGCAACCTTTGGGTGGCATCGTTGTGGCACTGCAGGAGGCCCAGGATGGACATGTCACCTGAGGAATGGGAGGGGGAGTTGAAATGGTTCGCAACTGGGAGGTGCAGTTGTTTATTGCGAACCGAGCGTAGGTGTTCTGCAAAGCAGTCCCCAAGCCTCCGCTTCGTTTCCCCGATGTAGAGGAGGCCACAACGGGAAATCTCCCCTCCCCCTACCGCATCCCAAAACCAGCCCAGCTCGTCCCTGCCTCCCTAACCTGTTCTTCCTCCCACCTATCCCCTCCTCCCACCTCAAGCTGCACCCCCATTTCCTACCTACTAACCTCATCCCGCCCCCTTGACCTGTCCGTCCTCCCTGGACTGACCTATCTCCTCCCTACCTCCCCACCTACACTCACCTTTACTGGCTCCATCCCCACCTCTTTGACCTGTCTGTTTCCTCTCCACCTATCTTCTCCTCTATCCATCTTCTATCCGCCTCCCCCTCTCTCCCTATTTATTTCAGAACCCCCTTCCCCTCCCCCATTTCTGATGAAGGGTCTAAGCCCGAAACGTCAGCCTTCCTGCTCCTATGATGCTGCTTGGCCTGCTGTGTTCATCCAGCTCTACACTTTGTTATCTCAACTTTACAGTGCAGTTTTGTTCAGTTGAGAAAGTAGAAACAATTTGGTTGTTATAAATCATTATTCAATCACAGCAGGAAATAACCTCAGGAAAATGGTATTAAATCTAAAAAAAAGCTTTTTTTCCCCGATACAGAGTATGTAGTAAAATAACCAATTGAAAATATGTTGTTATTCACTGAATCCAAATATAATGCCACACAGTGTTGTTTCATTCACACAGCTTTGAATCTAAATTATTTTATTGTTGCAGGAGCTGCTGAAGAAACCAAACTAAAATGTGACTTACTTGCAAAAATAGTCCTTTCTGCAGAATTCTATGAATGCGTGGGTTATCACTGATGCAAATACACACGTAAGGAGACCAGAAAGTTATCTATCTGTCTATCTATCTATCTATCTATTGATCTATCTATCTATCTATCTTTGAATAACTTTTTTGATTAGATATTTTATAGCCTTACAGGCTCAACACTGATTTTAACAATTTCAGAAAATAGCTTCTACTCACATTTTAGTTGTTGCTGATCATTCTGTTCTCACTTACACCTCCTCTAGACCTATCTTTTGGTCCTTGTCCTATTACCATCACCTTTTGCATTGTACTGTCATTCCTTTTGTCATTTATTATCTCCTGCCTTCTACCACATCACAGTCTTTCCCTTTAATTCTTGCCCACCTCACACATCCCCAAATACTTTTCCTGTTTTGGCATTTGCTTACATACTGTCACATCCATAGAATCCTTACAGTGTGAAAACAGGTCATGCAGCCCAATAAGTCCACACTGACCCTCCATAGAGAATCCCACCCAGTCACATCCCACTACCTTATCACTGCATTTCCCACGACTAAACTACTCATGCTTGAACACTATGGGTAATTTAGCATGTCCAATTCACTAACTTGTACATCTTTGGACTGTGGCAGGAAACAGCAGCACCTGGCAGAAACCCATGCAGACACGGGGAGAATGTGCAAACTCCACACAGACAGCCACCCAAGGGTGGAATCAAACCAGGTCACTGGCACTGTAACAACTGAGCCACAATGCCACCCAATAATATATATTAGTATAGTATTTTATTATAGTATTAGTGTAATATTATAATATTATCCTGGAGGTCTCAAAATTGAAACCTACAACTTCAGAAACTGGCTGCATTATATCTGTCCTCCATTTTTCTTACATTTTAAACATTTTCAAAAACCTTTGAAGAAGAGCCATACCAGATTCAAAACACTAGCTGTGTTTCCCTCTCCACAGATGCTACCAGACCTGGTGTATTTCTTGAACATTTTCTCTGTTTATTTTTAATATTATCCTGCTGTAAAATAAAAGTTGTTGCCCAGATATGGTATCCCTCTCCTGTCCCTGCAGATGCTTCCTGCTCCATTGAGTATTCAGACCACTTTCTGTTTTTAATTCTAGAAATAAAATCTGGCTCCTGTTCTGAGTCATAGAGTCATACAGCACAGAAACAGACCCTTTGATCCAACCAGCCCATGCTGACCAAAATCCTAAACTACACTAGTCCCACCTGCCTGTGCTTGGCCCATATCTCTCCGAATCTTTCCTATTCATGTACTTATCCAAGTGTCTTTTAAACCTTGTAACTGTACCCCAATCCACCGCTTCCTTTGAAAATTCATTCCATGCTCAAACCACTATCTGGGTAAAAAAGTTGATTAAATCTCTGGTGTTGTTGGAGTTTCGGTATGGATTGCAACTCCTAAATTTGTAGTTGTAATTTTATAGTGAATCATCAAACTTGATTTCCTACCATTTTGTACCAACGCTGTCACAGCTACACAAGTTATAGCTTAACCCATGGAATTGGATTTAAATACATTTAGGTCAGGTGGCACACCTGGTCTAATAGTTTTGAAAATGTTATAAAGTTATTTTAAAATTTGGTGAGGAAAGAAGCTTCCAGTTATCTATTCCTATCAAAAATTAGCTTTTGAGTAACAAAGCAGGCATCCATGTTCGCAAAAGTTGAACTTCTTTGCTGTTCGTTTCAGTGTCACCTGCTGCAAACTGTACTACACTTTTGTGTGTTTTTTTTGGTCAGTGGGATGTGAGCAATATTGGCAAAGCCAGTCTCTAGACCCCATCTCTAATTGCCATTTAGATGATAGTGGTTAGCTGCCTCCTTGAAGTGCTGTTAGGCAAGGAGTTCCAGGATTTTCTAAAACAATAATGGAAGAGTGATAAATGTCCTATAATAGAAATTTATATTTATATAGTGCCTTTAACATAATTAAATGGCTGAAAGGGCTTTACAGGAGCATAGTCGAGCAACAATATGACACCAGGCCACAGATAAGATGATCAAAGACTTAGAGAGTTAGGTTTCAATGTCTCTTAGGGAGAGAAAATGACACAGAAAGATGAAGAAGGAATATGGAATGTAGGTCACTGGCAACTGAGGGCCTGGGTCACCAATGCTGGAGCAATTAAAATTGGGGATGTTCAATAGTTCACATTAAAGTAGTGCAGCTATCTCAAGTGGAAAGTATCAGTAGGGGGAATGATGGTTGATCAGTATTTTTCAGGCTGACTTGCAGTTCACAATGGGTTGTTCTTTTCCGTATATATATGTAAATTTTCTCAATCTTGGTGTACAAAGGACAGTTTTATAGTTTGCAGATGATACAAAACTTGGGAGGTTTGTAAACTGTGAGCAGGATAGTGTAGAACTTAAAAAGAATATAGACAAGTTGGTGGATTGGGCAGACAGGTGGCAAATGAAATGTAATGCAGAGAAGTGTAAAGTGATACATTTTGGTACAAACAATATACAGAGACAGTGTGCAATAAAATATATTGTTATAAAGGGTGTGCAAGTGCAAATAGTCTTTGGTTATGTCATTAAAAGTGGCAGAAAAGGTAGAAAGAGGTGTTATTAAAGCCTGCAATATTCTAGGCTACATTAATACAGACAAAAGTAACAAGAGCAAAGAGGTTGTGCTAAACATATATAAGAGACAAGTTAAACCCAAGCTGATGTATTTGTAGAGTTCTGAGTTCCACACTTTTGGAACAATATAAACATAATGATGAGAGTACAGGAGAAGTTGACAAGAATTGTTCTAGGAATGAAAAGCCTCAGTCATGGGGATAGGTTGAAGAAGTTGGGATTGTTTTCTTTGACAAGGAGAAGACTAAGAGGAAATAAGAAGTTTTCAAAATCATGACAAGTCTGGGCCAGAATAAATGAGGAGAAACTATTCCCATTCATAAAAGGATCAAGAATCAGGCTACACTGGTTTAAACCCTATTGAAAAAGAGGCAAATGGAATGTAAGAAATAGCTTTTCACACAGAAAGTAGTTAAGAGATGAATGTACGACCTGGACATGTGGTGGAGATAGGCTTAGTTGAGGTATTCAAAGTGGAATTAGATGATTATTCAAAAGTAATGTCCAGGATTACAGAGAAAAGGCAAGAGATTCAGAGAGTCCCTGCAGATATGATGCAGTGAGTGGCCTCCTTTTGCACCTCCCATAACAATTCTGTGATACTGTGGTTCTGGGACTATTCTTGTTGCAGTTTAGAAGAATGACAGGGGATCTTATACAAACATATAAAATGATGAAGGGACTAGATGAGATAGAAGCAGAGAGGTTGTTTCCACTGGCAGGTGAAACTAGAATTAGGGGGCATAGACTCAAAATAAGGAGGAGCAGATTTAGGAGTGAGTTGAAGAGGAATTTCTTCAGCCAAACGGTTATGAAACTGTGGAATTCCCTGCCCAGTGAAGCCACTGAGGCTACCTCATTGTATGTTTTTGAGGCAAAGATAGAGATTTGTGAACAGTAGGGGAATTAATGGTTATAATGAGTGGGCAGGTAATTGGAGGCATGAAGAGATCAGCCATGATCTTATTGAATGGTGGACCAGATTCCAGCAGCCAGATGGCCAACTCCTGCTCCTATTTCCTTTGTTCTTATGAAACACAGCAGCAGTCTTTAGAAATGAGACAGGAAAATCATGAAACAACTGAAAACTTATTATTACTATTTCCAACCTAATGGGACCTTTCCTGAATCTAGGGAGTTCTGAAAAAATTAAAAGCAATGCATTAACAATCTCAGTAGGATTTATTTGAAGACCCTAGATGAAATTCAGCCATTTGTCAGCCCCAATTCCAACAATTTACTCAGTACTCCTTCTTTGACAATTGTAATTTTCCTGAGTTCTTCCCTTCCTTGCATTTCCTGAATTATCACTACTTCTGGGATGTTATTTGTACCTTCTATAGTGAAGACTTATGCACAATGCCCACACTGTTCAATTCGTCTGCCATCTCGTCATTTCCCATCATCAATTCTCCACACTCACTTTCTATAGAGCCAACACATGTGTTGCCAACTATTTTCTTTTTAAGATATTTGTAGAAACTCTTACTGTCTGATTTTGTATTTCTGGCTACCTTTCTGTCATATCTAATGTTTCCCTCTTTTTTTTTTAGAAATTCTTTGTTCTTTTTTTCTATTCTGTTCAAGCTTCTCACCTGACACCTGCCTTTGCACAATTCTATATTTTCTCTTCAAGATTGCCACCATCTTTAACATTTATAATTAGCCGCAGATGGTGGGTCCCTTCCTTGGAATTTGTCTTACTCATACATTCTGTGTATTTTTAAATATCATTTTTTAATTCGCAAAAAAATCCAAATCTAGTATTCATAGACTACTTGCCATTCATTAGTTGTTCTGTGTTAAAAAATGGGATGAAGCCACATGAGCAGCTTTCAACTTGTGTGGTTTAGATATGATTAACAGAAATGCATTTTATCTTAGTCCCTTATTCTCTTCTAAATGAAAATGTTCTAAATAAGAAAGAAACATTAGAAATTTAAACTGATGATTCTCGTTAAAATGCTCATGATTCTGATGAAATACATTGGAAATCAACCTAAAAATACCTGGAGTAACGTTTTTTTTTTCGATTCCATTCCTTGTCTAAATTAGCCCCTAAATTTCCAGGTGTCTGTTAACTCATTTAATTACTAACAGGATCTCAGATTTCTATTTCTGCCTGGTTAGATGCTGAAAGCAGATTTCGGGGCTTGGACAGTAATATCCCTGGGAAAGGCCATTAAAATGAATGAAGGGGTGAAATTGCCTTATAAATACAAACACGCGACCAGTGTGTGCAACACAGCCGCCTCTAACACTTCTACCTGTTTATGTAGATGTGCTGCCAATCACTCTCAAAGGAACATCCTGCTTTCAGCAAATGGAAAGAAAGGTAAAAATGAACGATCAGCTAAAAGAGATTTTTAAAAATATATTTAAAATGAAATAACAAGCGTTTATAATGTGAATTACTTTACAGTTTGTAGTTCTAAGACCTCTTCTCTGTCTTTGATAATGCACCATTCAAACGCTGCCGAACGCTTCTCACTCTCCAACCAGGGAACCAGAGTGGCTTCAGCAGGTAACGGGCAAACATCATCATCTTTGTTCTTCCTCAAAACGGTCGTTTACTGTGCCAATTACATTTTCTTTGTAAGAATTTAGCTACAAAGAGGCGATCCCATGAAAGATATTGACATTCTTCACCAGTGAGGAAGGCCTCACAAGTTAGGAGTGGTCAGGGCTGGAAGGATTATATGCTGTTCCCGCATACAGACATAAAGGTAATGTGAAAAGTTGCCGCCAATTTTAGGCAACGTGACAAATGAGACAGCTTTTATTTTAACAAGAGTTATCAAGACAACACTACTTGCATTTTCACAGCGTCTTTAACGTCAAAGACACTCCAATGCATTTCACAGAGCAATCCTAGAAACAAGAAGGAACGACGCTAAAGGGAGGCAACCAACGGTTTAGTCAAAAAAGTCAGTTTTAGGAAGAGTCTTCAAAGAGGAAGGAAGTAGTCAGGCATACACGGTTAAGGCACTGCCATCAACCAAAGAGCTGAAATAAGTAGCCAGAATGAGAGAAAGTATAAATTTGAAGTTAGTTTCAGGACTGAAGAATGTTCTAAAGGGAAGGGCAAGGCCACAAAGTGATAAGGGCAAGGATTTTCTGAAGGCATTTGTAGACTGGCGAAAGTTTCCTGCAGCTGTTCATGTTTAGATAAATGACAGGATGTCAAGCTCATTAAATATTTTACAAATTATAATCATGTTTGATTCAATGTCATATAAAAAGCTGCGATGTTTGAGTTTTAGACAATCCTGACTAAATAAGAATCTTTGTTAAAAATGTAAAGTGGGGCTTCCTTTGTCAGGTGTAATTAGTTTCATTAACTGTTTTGTTCTTTGTGAATGATATAATGTAAAAAGTCACATTGGATCAATAGGATTGTCTCACTCACTCAAGTCTCAGAATAAAAGAATGGAGGGCCTTTCATTTACCTAGGGCTTTCTTATGGCTTCTGTACAAACATTGAGGAAAATATCTTCAGCAGTAAATGTAATGAAATGATAAGCCATTTTTTATTACATGGATTTACTATTTTGTTACACAGAATGAACAGAGAAAACCTTCCCCTATTAAGTTTCATCATATTACAATTAATGTTACAGACCTGCAAGATATTTGGTTTATTTCAGAAAGTGTATTAAACCAAATACAGTGGTTTAGCTTCAGTTACTACTAACAGATGCAGGTAGAGCACCATAAGTTGATAGAGAATGTTTCCTGTAAATAATAATCATGTAAGCAAAAAAGCAAATATGTTCATAATTCTAACATATTGCATAAACATTGCAGTCTACCAAATAGATGGTTTCCATTTCCACACAACTTCTGTTGTGATATGTTTGGTTTATGTGCCTAAAAAATATTTCTTTCCTAAATTGCATTAGTCAACTTTCTACAGAGGAGTTTTGCAGTTTAGAATAATTTTCTTTTGGAAAGCTAAAATACAAAATGCATTTTAATAAATAAATTGTAATCTGTTGCTAAATATTTATCCAGAATTTTTTTAGGATAATGTCACAAATAAATACAAAATCACTTTCAATTATCAATTGTTTTATTGACAAGTATTCACCTGGGACTGTATAGAAATAAATACTTTAATTCTTGGTAGAAGTTTTATTAATTGGCCTAATGCAATATATCCGCCAAATTTGCAACAAAATTTCAATAAAATGGTCATTTGCAAAAATGAAAATTACTGCCGGAAAAGTTACGGAATAAAAGGTAATGTGCTCATATGAAATTTGTTTTTGCTTTACGTTGGAGGAATAGAACAAAATAGTGAAAAATAAATTGTATGAACAGATTATGTTACGAATAATAACAACGTGGATAGCAACTTGTAGGCTCTTAACATTTACTTGTGAGTATTATCTAATTAACCAATCGTGGCTTACTTCTGCATTTTCTTACTAGCTCCCTCAATGTTATCTTCAATCCAGCCATTGTCTACGCCCAAATGTTCTTTTATGCACCTCCCCCCAGGCTCTTTAACCAACACACCTACACGTCTTCACTACTCCATGCCATCTTGCCATTATGGGAGCCAACAATCTGCATATGGGGTGATGGCAGGTGAGACAAGCAAATTTCTCTTCGTGTTCACTATTGTTGCAATTCCTTCTCTATTTCAATTTTTCATGGATATGTGAAAGAAAGAAAAATGTCCACAGGCTGGCCAGTTGTTCATCACACTAATATTGTCATGGTGAGGAAATGATGTCAATTTATCCATGCAATATTTTACAGTATATGTGATGCAATATTTTTACCAAATTTTTAAATGTCAACTTGGAATAGATCATTAACCTTGTTTAATTATATTACAAATGCCATAGATGGTTAATTAGCTTGGCAAGCGAGGAAGTCTGCTTCATTGGTGTATTTCTGTTTAATGAATTTGACCACCCACCATTCCCAACTGCCACATACCTACTTGCTCCTCAGTGGCCAGAACGCAGAGTATGCAGGCATGCTGCAAGGTACTGCACTGCCAACAGTATTTGGACGGCAGTTCCAGAACCCGGGCTGCAATCTTTTAAAATCATGCCATGAAGAGTACAGTAGATGCGCAAGGTGAGAGAGCCCATTTGCCAATGTATCTGGTCATTAGACAGTACAATGGATGGTTCTCAGCCAAACTCTCCTGTCCACTTCAGTTCAATCACCAGCCACACTTTCATCCCTCAGGATGGTAGAAATGGTGCGACCAAAGCTGTTAAATAGTTAGCTGGCACCCCAGTAGGTGCACTAGTTTTTTTTTCTTGTTTGCCAATAGTGTAATGCTTAGGAAGTGGTACATTTACAAGCTGTAGATTAATGTGTGGTTTGAAATGGACCCAAATATTACTGTAGCACAATTTGACATACGACATGTATATTACTCCCAGTAATCCTGTGAACAGATATTTCATCAACTTTGTTGATGACCCAGAATAGTTTTTTTTTAATTCAGTTATGGGATGCAGGCTTTGCAGACAAGACCAGTTAACTGTTGCCGATCCCTAATTTGGGAAGGTGGTGACTCAGCACAGTCTGTGAACTGTTTGGACTATCACAATTTGATTCAAAGTGATTTTGACTCACTGGCAATGAAGGAACAGCAAAATGTCTCCAAGTCAAGATGGGCGTGATCTGCAGGGAAACCTGCAAGTGAAACACTTTGATGTGCTTGCTGAAGGTGGTAGAAAACATGGGTTTGGAATGTGCTGTCAATAGACAGTTGGCAAGATGCTGCAGTGCATTTTGTGAATGGAATACACTGCTGCAGTTGTCCATTGGTCTAGAGACAGAAAGTTTAATTTAATAGATGGATTGCCAATCAAGCAAATGTTTTCTTAGATGGTGCCAAACTTCTTCAGTGTTGTTGGAGCTGCACTCAGCCACGCAAGTGGGGAGTATTCCATCACATTCCTATCTTGTGCCTTGCAGATATGGAAAGACTTTTTGAAATCACAAACTGAACTACTTCTCGCAGAATGCTCAGCCTCTGTCTTGAAACCACACTATTGATATAGCTGGTGCCATTAAATTTTTGGTCAGTAATAATCTCCAGAATGTTGATGATGGGTGATTCAACCATATTATTATTCATTAGGGAAGACATTAGCTTCTAGATTTTTACTGGAAACGGTCATAGCCTGGCACTTAGGTAGCAAATAACATTCAGTCTACACATCAGCCTGAGCCTGAATGTTGCCTAATTCTTGCTGCAAACAGGCACTCATTGCTTCAGCAACTGAGGAGTTGCAAGCAAGCTGTGTAATGTGCAATTATTAGTGAATATCCTTGGTTCTGACCTGATGATGAAGGAATGTTACCGAAGGAGCTTAAGGTGTTGTGTCTGACATACTAACCTAAGCAGCTCCTGCAGTGTTATTCTGGAGTGGGGGTGATTGACTCCAACAATTATAACATCTACCTTTGCACTAGATTCATCAATGGAGAAATACCCCTTGATTTTAATTGACTTGAAATTCGCTAGGACTCCTTGATGCTTCTGTAAATAAAATGCTGTCTAATGTCAAGGATGACATTCCTCATTGGAAATCTGAAATTCAGCTCTTTCATCCATGTTGAGCCCAAGTTTGAAGTGAGGTCTGGCACTGTGTAGTCCTGGCAGAACCTAAATTGAGCATCACTGGTCATTGGTGAGAAAGTGCCACTTAACAGCATCAGAAACAAATATTCTGTCACTTTGGGAATGATTGGGAGTGTACTGAAAAGGTGCTCCTTGGTCAAATTGAATTAGTATGCTTTTTATGGACAGGCCATAGCCATATAAATTTCCACATTCTTGTTTCGGTGCCATTGTGGTAGTTGTACTATAACAGCTTGGCAGGAAGTGTAAATAGTTCTGAAGAACAAGTCTGCAGTCTTATATTCTGCTAATATTCAACCTACAGCATAAGGACTGCAGCAGTTCAAGAAGGCAGCTCATCACCACCTTCTCAAGGGCAATTAGGGACAGGCAATAAATGCTGGCCAGCTAATGATGCTCAGGTCCAACGCATTTAAAAAAAAATAGATTATAAATCCATAGAGTTAGACTAATACCTTGGGGTCATTCTAGGAAATTTTTTGTAAAAATCCATATTGTTCACCTGTGGCCTTTAGGGAAGGAATGCCATCGTTATCTGGCTCAGTCAACATGTGTCCAGAGTAGACCCACAGCAATGACTCTCAACTGCCCCCTGCCTAGCAAACCACTCCAGTGCAAGAATTGTTGACCTTGACAGTAATGCCCATAGCCCATGAAAGAATAAAGATGTAACATGTTTTGGAGTCCTAAGCATTACCATTTCTGATGCACTCAGCCTTTTTTTATCTCATGGGTGAAATAAATTTGCTGAAGACAAAGGCTCAGATCGATATTCCATTCAACATCCTCCTATCATAGACATTACTTAGTTGGGTTACTCTGTTGGATAAACCTGCACCCACATTAGTGATTCTCTTTTCATTCATGGGATGTGGGCATCACTGGCAAGATCAGCTATCGTTGCCCATTGCTACTTACCCTTGAGAAGGTGATGAGCCAGCATTTTGCATTGCTGCAGCCGATCAGTTCCAGACAACCCAAATTACTGGACGGAGGATATTCCAGGATCTTGACTCATCTTGCCGCAAGTACAATGTCAGAAGCAACTGAACATCATTTCTACATATCAATATTGAAATATAGCTGTGAACAGCAGCATATGAAACAAATTGACCAGATAAAACTGTATGATGACATTCTGTTAAAGTTGTCTTAACATTTATAGACATTTTCTAACTGCCGGTTATGTCACACCTCTGGAGTAGGTGGGATTTGAATCCAGACCTCCTGGCCCAGGGGGAGGGGCACTACCACTGTGCCACACGGGCCCGTGTCTTGTTCTTTTTTGCATTCAAATTATCAGGTTGGCATCTCATTAAATCATTAGAGCTTTTGACATTTCTTGTTTTGTGAATTGGGTCAAGACCACATTTTTATTTGCATTTTTTTTCCCGCGGAGTGAGTTGGTGTTCTACGGACTTGGGAAATGTGATGACTTTTATGGATTTTTTCACCTAAATTGTTTCTATTCAATTGATTGAACTACAAAAACTTTAGGAATTCTAAACTATACACTCTGTGGAATCTAATGCAGCTGCTTAGTGATATGTTCGTAACGCATAACGTTCTTGTCTAAGGCCTGCATCTTAGCACCATCCATGTGCAGTCCGGTGCACTCATTACTTGCCATTAATCATGTGCCTTTAACAGTCTGCAGTAATGCCTCTATATGCACAGATGGGCTGGCTCCATGTCTGTACAAACTGCCTGACCACACACTGAGCACGTCTTCCTGCCCTCTGGGACATGGATTTGCCCCGATTCATCAGTCAGTCCTAAGCGAAGAATCCATTGTCATCGACCTCAAACAGGAGTTTCGAAAAAAGAATAAAACAACTGAGGAGCCAGTTAGTTTGGATTCTCCAGAAATCAAAGAGTTGGAGCTGTTTGCGAATCAATTTAAAGTGAGAAGAATAAAGCTAGGTAAATACTGAATTCAGTGTCTTCATTGTGCGACACCTTTGTTTGCGAATGAAATACTTAACAAATGGAAACACTAAAGATCAAAAATACTTTCCAAAACTTCTCAAAGTGCTGGAAATAATTCTGGATAGGGTAGTAGACTGAGATGGTCATCAATAGTAATGCTCAAGGTGGATTTTTTTTAGAGGGAAGAAGATATTGGGGAATATAGGAAGTGCTAATCGAATAACGTTTGCTCATAAATGTCACAGAATTTCAAAGCAAGTTAGGAGCAGAGGAACAGGTGTAGGTCACTTAGCTGCTCTGACCTGCTGAGCCATTCCAGAGCAAGATTCTCCCTCAGTGTAGCTCCTATACCCACTCCTATCATCAGTGCCTAGGGATCTATCAATGTCTTTCTTGAATTACTGAGCCTCCACAGCACTGGGCGGTGGGGAGTGGTGGGGATAGTGAAGAGAATTCAAGTGTTTAGGAACCGCAGTAACTTAATGCATCTTCCTATTGGCACCGGCTTAGCTCACGCTTTCAAACAATACAAAGTGTCTCAAGCATAGGGTCAAGCTTAAAAATAACATGTGGGCATTGAGATGGTTTGGACCATTGTGAGAGTGAAATTCCAATAGTGAGAAACCCAATGGAGAATCTATCATGTAGATATTTCCAAAACTTTTGGTTAGGGAGAAAGTTATAACAGCACTGTTCTTGCTGCTGTCTTTTTTGACAGTCAGCTCAGCCAGTTGCGAAGGAAATGCGCGCTTTCTCGATACAGGAGGACTTAATCCTTATTGAGAGAGGGCGTAAATGGATTTAGCAAATCCAACATTTCTTTGGGACTCTGTGGATTTTATTTCTATTTCATGTGATAACTTGGAGAATAACTATTAAATGGATCAATGATATCAATTAGAAATACACAGCAATCATGATTTGAAGGGAAAGGAAGGCAGAAGCATAGTTAATATAATCTGGTAATAGTATTTGTGCCAACCAAGTGATCACAGCCATTGACATCCCGCTCCATTGTGAATGAATCTCTGCCGCTATCGTTCGTTTTCTCCCCAACCGAGCCCTTTGTCAAATGTTAGATCTTAGAATTTACACCTCATACGCTTCGACCAAGGTTGGCAATTGCAGTCCATGTGCCACATGGAACCTGGAGAGGTGGAAAAATATCTGACCGCAGCAAATCTCCACAAGAATAATTCTACCAGACAATCGTTTAACACGAAGGGGTACGTAAACTCCAACACAACCCCAGCATCCGCAGTTCTTCGGAGTTATTCCGCAGAAAAAAAAAGATATCCTCACAAAGTGAAAGGGGCCATTCGATTTAAACTGAAGTAATTATTTTGCTCATTACAAAGTTGATGGGTAAAATGCACTGTAGGCCTTCTGGTCGTTTCAGTTCGTTCAAACATCAGAACAAAACAAATGCAGCAAAACAAAGTAGAACTACAGCATCCATAAAACAAACGGCAGTTTATAACATGGGGACTCTTTATCCCAGGGTTTGCATCAGAAGCATCTACAGCCCAGAAAAAGATTCTTCAGCCCATCTAGTCTACCTTGGATCAAAACAACCATCTGTTCTAGTTCCATTTTCCAGCACTTGGCCCATAGTCTGGCATGCCTTGACACCACAAGTGTATATCTAAATACTTATTAAATGTTTTCAGGGTTTTTGCCTTTAGCATCATTACAGTTCCAGATTGGACTCACCTTCTGCATGAAAAGAAAAGTTCTTCCTTACATCTCCTCTAAACCATCTCGCACTTACCTTAAATCTATGCCCCCTGGTCACTAGGCCCTCCATTAAGGGGAAAAGTTCCTTCCTATCTATGCCCCTCGTAATTTTATACATCTCAATCATGTACCTTGTCAATCTCCATGTCACTGGCATTCAGCTGTGAGCTTTACAATTTGAATGTGAAATATACACTTATTTCTAAGTGGTTATGTTTGGTTGTCTGTTTATAAATTAATGAGGCAATAGGGCATATAAAAACAAGTTGCATAATAAAACAATGTCACTTCATTTCCAAAATGGACACCTTCTGAGTTAATTAGAAATTAAATAGTTATTATAGTTTTCAAGAATAACCAGAACCTGAACAAACCTCACATTTCTGAAAGAAGTACCAAGACTTATTTTTGTTGCATTTATTGCTTTAACTGGTGGAACAGTCTTGAGTGTTTGAACGGCCTACTCCTGTATCTATGTTCCTATATTTCTTTGTATCAGCACTCCCATTTTTTCTCTCCCTCTCTTTTGTTACAGGTTACACTCAAACTAATGTTGGTGAGGCTCTTGCTGCTGTGCATGGTTCAGAGTTCAGTCAAACAACTATTTGCCGCTTTGAAAATTTACAGCTCAGTTTCAAAAATGCTTGTAAGCTCAAATCAATTCTTTCCAAGTGGATAGATGAAGCAGAACAAGCAGGAGGTATGTAGCTGTCAATCTTTATGAAGATTAATGTTCCATCTAACATTAATGTGCAGAAATATTCATCATATTGGTATTCAGTTTTATGGAATATTTATATTTCTATCTAGTATTTTGTAAACTAATTTTAGGTAATCTTTTCATTTTTTAAAACATTTATAGAATCTTAGAATCCATACAGTGCAGAAAGCAGCCCGTTGAGTCTGTGCTGACTCTCCAAAGAGCATCTCACCCAAACTCAGGCCTCCCACCATATCCCTGTAATCCCACTTTTACCATAGCTATCCAACCTTATCTGCACATCCCTGGACACTACAGCACAATTTAGCACTGCCAACCCACCGAACATGCACATCCTTGGACTGTGGGAGGAAACCAGAGCACCTGGAGGAAACCCACGCAGATACGGGGTGAACGTGCAAACTCCACACAGATGGCTGTTTATAGCTGTTGACATTTCTTGAGTCTAGAAAGTTATTAACTTCTGTTATTATCTTCATATTTGATTTCATTTATACTGTAGTATTTGGAGTGCAGAAATGAGGATTTTGGCTCAACTTGTGTGTGTTTATGTTCCACAGGAATTTCCTTCTTCATCTAAACTTATCAACATATCATCCATTCCATTTTCCTTCACTTACTCCTCTAGCTTCCACTTAAATACATCCACATTATTCACCAGTCATAGGCTCCTACCGAGGTTAGAATTGCAACTAATACTTCAAATGTAAAATGAAGGAGTAGCAAAATACCAGATTTTCACACAGATCACCAAATCACTCAAATTTTCCGGAATAGGATTCTTTCTGTCTGTTGCCTTTAGGTCGTCCTTTATTATTTGAGCTATCTTACTTCTTTTTCCATTTTTACTATGTTCCCAAAAGATCAACTAACAGAACAATTAGTTCCCAACATTGTCACCCTCCAATTATGACTCAGCAATGGTTACTAGGTCAAACCCACGCTTCTCCTTTTGTACTATTAATTTATCTTGCCAGAGGATTTAAAGTTGCAAGGTGACTTATTCAGAGAACACTAATAAGTAGTCTGGAAGAGTGAAAAAGGATATAAAATGGTGCATGTGCTGTTTTGCATTGGGGACAGAAAGATGACAAAACATGCATATTATTTATGCAGAGTGACATATTTAGCATTTGATGTATCCTATATTGACATGGAGGTATTCCATATAAACAACAGTAGCCAAAAGCAACAATATTGATATTTAAGTATTGTAGAACATGAAGCAACATGCTTTGTCTTGTGCTCATCAGAACAGGCACAAGAATACCAACTTTCAAAGGAAGCAACAATTAACACTACATGACAAAACAATGCTGATTGTTTGGAATTCAACTCCGCTTGAGATTTTTCCATGGACAATGCACAAATGGATCAAATGGAAAAAACTAAATGAATTTGCACATCTCAGATCAAGCACAGTAGATTTGTAAACATATAGCCAATCTGCTCAATATCACCCTGCATTAACACTCACTCATTTATGAAACTGCATCTCACTTGAATATTATTAATATACTTGGAAATGAAAACTGTCACAATCTTGGGCCTAATCTGCTCTTGGAGAAATTGAACAGATAATATATCTATTCATGCATAGTGTGAATCAAACCATATTTTAATATGCATTATCAAGTTTAAGCATTCATGCAGAATGAGATTGAACAGATTAGTTGCTGTTGACAAATTTGTGTCCTGACCTATATTCTGTTCCATCTGAGATGCACAAATTTCTTTCATTTTTCTTTCATTTGATCAATCTGTGCATTCACCATGGCAATGCCTCAAACAATCAGAGTCAACACCAACCAGTCAACATCTTTTTCTCATTCCGCACAAATTGTTCCTCCCCTTGATATTTGGTGTTCTTGCTTCTATCTTGATAAGGACAAAATGTAAAATTTCAACAGCTTATCTCTTTTTTCCAGAAATACCTCAGTTTTATACTATTGAGTAATAGATCATATTCATACTCCTGCTTGCAAAACATCTTTCATTTCTATGCCCCCAAATTCCTGAGAAAAATATTTGCTAAATGGTGGTGCATTCTAATTAAGACAGCCTATATAGTCAAGCAGAAGATTAATGTAGAAACAGAAGTAGGTAAGTCATCCCCCATTTTTTGTCCTGTCACTCAATTAGATCATCGCTTATTTGTAGCTTCCTTCTTAACCTACAATATCTTGCCTAACAATAATCTATTAATCTCAGCTTTGAAATTTTCATTTGACATTGTTTCAACAGTTTTCTTCAGGAAGAAATGTTCCACCTTTTGTGTACAGAAGTGTTTATGACATTACCTGCTAAATGGCCTTGTTTTGATTTGAATGCTATGTCCCCCTATTACTCACCAAAGGAAATAGTTCCTATCAAGCCTATTAAATGCTTTCATTATCTTAGAAAATCTCAATTAAATCATACTTAATTTTCTCCACTTAAGGTAATACAAAACCTAGTCAATACAAAGAAGGGTCTAGGCCCGAAACGTCAGCCTTCCTGCTCCTCTAATGCTGCTTGGCCTGCTATGTTCATCCAGCTCTACACCTTGTTATCTCTATCTTAATTGAACCCTTTTAGCTCCAGCATAATTCTGCGGAATCTACACTGCATCCCCCTCCAAAGACAATATATCCTTCTGAATTTAACACATCAGTTTAATTGAGGCTGAACCAGAGCTTTATCTAACATTGATAAAATTTGAACATACTCATAGTAATTACAAATAGATCAAATATATATTAAAAGGACTGTCCTACTGCATTCTTGGAAGTTAGTTCCTTTATAGTGAAATAGACAACTAACTCAGATGCCTCAAACAATCAGAGTCAACACCAACCACTCAACATCTTTTTCTCATACAGCACAAATTGTTCCTCCCTTTGATATTTGGTGTTCTTGCTTCTATTCCTGATAAGATGAATTCTTATCTCAGATGAATTCTTGTTTAATTAAATAGTTTTCAATGTAAAACATTACCAGAAGAAGTGGAAAAGAAATAGCCAGTTCATACCATGTATGTGATTTATATTTTGTAACTGTGTATTTCCTTGCAGCTTTAAATAATGAAAGAACTGGAACAAATGAAAGAAAAAGAAAGCGAAGAACTACAATCAGGTGTGTATGACAACAGCATCTAAACATTAATATGGAAGTGAAGTGCCCATGTTCCATGTAATGATAATAAAAGGATCTTGTGTGCAAGATTAGGATTTTGCCAACTCTTGTCTTACATGGAACTCTTGCTGTGACGAGACAGCAATAATATTTTAGTCTTTACACATAGGACAAGCAAGATTAAACTTACATGCATACATATGATTTCAGAGCAGATGTAGATCATCCAGACCCTTGAACCTGCTCCACCATTTGATAGGATCATGGCTGAGCTGATTATGGTTGAAATTCTACTTTCCTGTCCTACCCCCTATCCTTTGACTCCCTTGTCAATCAGAATCTAACCTATCCTTCAAAATATTTGATTACCCCGTTTTCACTGCTCTCTGGGGAAGAGAATTCCAGATTTGTGACCTTCTGAGAGGAAAAAAAAAATCTTCTCAGCTCCATTTTAAATGAAAGATCCCTTATTTTTATACTCTGTTTGTTCTGTAAAGGGAAATATCCTCTCAGTAATCACCCTAACAAGTCCCCTCAGGATCTATATGTTTCAAAAAGATCGTTTCTCATTCTTCTGAACTCTGATAGATGTAAGTCAAACCTGTCCAGCTTACCCTCATAAGACAACCTCTTCATTCAGGGAATCATTGGTTGAACCTATTTTGAACTACTTCTAATATAATCATATATATTTTTTTAAAAGTAAGGAGCCTGAAACTCTAACTGGACTCCAGATGTTTCTGACTAAGGTCCTCCATGACTTTAACAAAACTATACTAATTTTTTATTCCACTTTCCTTGCAATATGTAACAACATTCCATTTGCATTTCTAATCATTTGCTGCACTTACATTTTTTTGTAATTTACACATGAGGGCATCCAAATCTTCCTGTACGACAGAGTTCAGCAATCTCTCTCCATTTAAATAATGTGCTGCTTTTTGTTTTATTTTTCTGTCAAAGTGGAGAAGCTCACAATTTTCCAGCTTTGTGTTCATCAGCCAATTATTTGACCAACTCACTTAACCTATCTAAATCCCTTTTCAAACTGTTTATGCCCTTTAACAACTTACTTTCCTACTAGCAAACATACATTCAGTCCCTTCATCCAGTTCATTAATATAGATTGTATTGCAAGCAACTCATGCCCTGTCACTGATCCTTGTGGCATTCCATAGGTTATAGCTTACCAACCTGAAAATGACCTATTTATCCTCTCTGCAGGCTGTTAGACAACCAACTCTCTATCCATTCTAATATGCTACCCCATACATCACGTGATCCTATTTAATGTTGTAATCTTTGATATGGCTTTTTTGCTATTTATGAGATAATGACCAAAATGTGCAAATTTTCAGAAGTCTGACACCTGGCAAGATCAACACTGTTCAATCAGAGTGCTGTGGAAAACAGGAACAGTATTGCCTCATACATTGAAGTTGACAATTTGACATTAATTTTCTGCAAAAGTATAAATTTGATAGGAAATGATATACTAAGTGTGCACAACAACCCATTGATTCAAACTCCAAGGGGACTAAAATAGCTCATTCCCAGAAAAGGACATGGGAATTGTGATCTATGACTAGTTCCACAAATGTAGGCAGTATGCCAACATCATGCTGCTTATTAACCAATGCAACTAAGTACCAAGTTCACTGTTGAGTAGTTGAATGGGTAGCAAGACGCCCACATTTGCAAGACTCTGGCACAGGTAGCCCATGTGTCTAAAAGAGGACATGCATTGTTGATGGAGCGGGTGTAGTTATTATGCAGCTAGTTCTGACTTGATAACAGTTCAAGAGTGTAGGAAAGAACAGGCTTTAAAGTTTTCCGACACTACAATGGAGACCTTGGTGGAAGAGGTGCAAAGAGGGTGATATATGCTGTATATGCAAGTCGGCCTTGTGGACACGGTCTCAGAGGCTACTGGAGTGGTTCACTGTAGAGTTCAATGCCAGGAGTCAAGCCCAAGAACTTGAATGCAGTATGGATAGTGGGGCAAGGAGTTCAATTACCTCACATGAGTTGTCAAGCTCAGTGAATGAATATTCTAACAACTGCAACCCCTTGGCTCAAACACCTCACAATTCATCACAGCCCCATCACTCAGTGATCAACAATCTCCCTCAATCAAAAGATTAATGTCTGACATTTGTTTGTTACATCAGACCGTCAGACACTTCACTGCTACAAGCCTCACAATCACATTTCACAGCTTGCACATAACCAGTTATCCAATCAATACAGTGTGATCAGCTAAACTGATTGTCAGCTAAACTGATTGCATCTCTGTCTCCCAATAGGACAAAGCAGCACAAAAATCCAGGGTAGCAGGAGCTAAACAAAGGATGCAAGTTGCTCACTGCTGAGGCCATAATTAACAGTGGCACTGGAATCAGCAAAATGCTTGCCCTTCTCTTTCTCAAATCACACCACCACTACTCTTATACTGCCTTCTGATTTACAAACTGCAAATGGTGTAAGCAAGAACCACCCCTCACCCTAACTACCACTACTACCACAACCACTCCACCTCCCCATGCGGCAACCTTACCCTTGTGCTTTGCTATTTCCTGTTACTTGAGAAATGCAAATGGTGCAGAAGCAGCAACAAGTGAGTAATGATGAAGACACAGCACCTTTGCTTGATTTCACACTTGGATCCTCAGCTCAGAAATTGATGCTCTGTGTCATTTAAGGAATAGATTACAGACAAAACTTGCATGTGGTGAGAATTCAGGATGCAGCTATGGGGAAAGGATAGCACAGGCACCCAAGAGGGTTGGACATCAGTGCTGGTGTAGAAAACTTAGTTGAAGACTTTGATGGCACAGAAGGATGATGACTAAGCACAACATAATGCTTGGTGCATTAACAGGCCTGCTAGAAAACTCATGTGTGCTCTGCAAAAATAATGGGGGAATGCAACACCGTATTGCATTGGATTTTGCACAGAGCTTTGAGTCCAATTCTTTACAGCATGCAAGTAGTAGCCAAATCCATGAGCTACTGTGGCCCCAACCATGATGTAGTATCTAACAGCCAATGTCTCAGCTTCTACTGCTAAGCAGAAGCCATTCACACTCTGGGATTTGAATTTGAAGCTCAGACATCTGTCGTGCAAGCTCAAATTGCTACCATTATGCTTTTGGGTTACAATGTGCAAAAGAGCATTAGGATGTCACAGTGGTCTGGCAATCAGCAGGTGGCATATTACAGGGATTCAGTCTTAGAAGTGTTGATGTTCTGCATATGGTTCCTTGCTAAAGTGTTTTTTGTTCACAAGATTTGGATGTCACTGGCAATGCCAGCATTTAGTGCCCATCGTTAATTGCCCTAGATAAGATTGTGGGAGCCGCCTTCTTGGACTGCTGCAATGTGTGGAGCAGGGAGTACCAGGGAGGATGAACAGTGTGTTAGGGTTCCAGGACTGTGATCCAGCAATAGTGCGGGAACAGTAATACAGTTCCATGTCACAAGACCAAGTCACTTCTAAGTGGTAGTAGTTGTAGGTTTGAAAGGTACTGATGAAGGGGCTTTGGCAAATTGCGGCAGTGTATCTTGGTACACACTGCTGCCACTGTGCATCAGTGGTGAAGGGAGTGAACACTGATCCTGGTGAATGGGGTGTGAATCAAGTGCCTTACTTTGTTCTGGGGGACATCAAGCTTCTCAAACATTGTTGCAGCTGCACTCATCCAAGCAGGTGGAGACCATTCCCTTCACTTATGATTTATGCCTTCTAGATGGTAGAGTCAAGAGGTGGGTTACTCATCTCAGAACTGCTAGTCTCTCACTTTGAGACCTCATTTTGTTCTGCCCACTGGTAATTCCCAGGTTAAGAGAAATACTCCCTGAACAGCATGTCTTTTTCCTGAGACTCCTTTCATTCCCCTCCCTCTTCCAGCAGCTAGTCATGTTTTGCACACCTTCTGCTTACTCTCCAAAGCATACTCTATTCCAAGGAGAGTACGGAGCATACCTAGAAGCAATTTAGATAAATGTGAAGTGCTGCATTTTGGAAAGGCAAATCAGGGCAGGACTTAATGGTAAGGTCCTGGGGAGTGTTGCTGAACAAAGAAACCTTGGAGTGCAGGTTCATAGTTCTTTGAAAGTGGAGTTGCAGGTAGATAAGATAGTGAAGAAGCCTTTTGGTATGCTTGTCTTTATTGGTCAGTGCATTGAATATAGGAGTGGCCACAATCAGACTACTGCAATTCTGGTCTCCCTGCTATAGGAAGGATAATGTGATACGTAAAAGAGTTCAGAAAAGGTTTATAAAGATGTCACCAGGGTTAGAGGATTTGAGCTACAGGGAGAGGCTGAATAGAATGGGGCTATTTTCGCTGAAGCATCAGAGGCTGAGGGATGACCTCATAGAGGTTTATAAAATTATGAGGGGCATAAATAGACAAGGACTTCTCCCCAGGATTGGGTGAATCCAAACCTAGAGGGCACAGGTTCAGGTGAGAGTAGAAACATTTAAAAGGGACCTAAGGGGCAACTTTTTCACACAGAGGGTGGTGCGTGAATGGAATGAGCTGCCAGAGAAAGTGGTGCAAGCTGGTATGATTACAACATTTAAAAGGTATCTAGATGGGTATATGAATAGGAAGGGTTTAAGAGGGGTATGGGCCAAATGTTGGCAAATGGGATAGATTTATGTAGGATATCTGGTTGGCATAGATGAGTTGGACCGAAGGGTCTCTTTCTGTGCTGTACGTTTCTAAGACTCTAAGTGGTTAGTGCGGAAGCCTTAAGTCAGCAAAAAATGTCCTTCAGCATTTGCCACACCACTTCTTGTAGATTTTTGTAACTTGTTGTTTGATAATTGCAGAAAACATTAAGCGCTTGTGTAAACATAGCAATGTTAGAAGAAATAAACCCACAACTAACTTGTAGATAGTGCACAATCATTTTAAATAGCACTGGTAATAAGTCCTACTTGATGAATGTTGATTCAGCCCCTTGCAATTACCAGATATTAGCTTGAAATGACAGCTCTAGTGATCTGCCTACTCTGCATACTTCAGGAGGCATTCAACACTGACAAATATGTGTGTGCCATGATTCATCTCATAAGTGTGTGTAGACCTCAAATGCTACTGTGGACATGAAATAGCCTCTAGATAATGGATTCCACAATTCAATTTAGTGCCACAAGACAAAGTTGAGCAGAATTACAAAATAAAGCAATTGCTGGAGAAACCAACAAAATATCCATTTAAAATGTATCTTTCTCCTGTTGGATATCTTTGGTAATATTATGAAATATTGGAAAAGATAATCATTTTAAAATTCATTCTGAAAATTTCATACCATCAAAAAACATAAATTGACATGCAAATTCACTTCTGATTCACAGGCAATTGCCAAGAACAAACTAATTGTACGTGCTAGCTTAATTTATTAAATAACAAATTTAATTAATGTTGCACTTGTTTTGCTCCATTAGCCTGCTGGCTAAAGAAGCCCTGGAGACACACTTTGGACATCAAAGTAAACCTTCCTCACAGGAGATCATACAGATGGCAGATAGTCTAAATCTGGAAAAAGAAGTTGTCAGAGTCTGGTTCTGTAACCGTCGGCAGAGAGAGAAACGGGTGAAGACAAATCTGCACCACAATTCATTTCAGTTTCCTTTCAAAGAACATCATGATTATAGATAGCTATTAACCAAAGTATTGGAAAACATACAGAAACTTATGAATCAGAATATATTTATAAAATAAACAATTATTGCTCATTTCGGTCAAATGATCTTTCTTCATCTGAGGAATTAGGTCACAACCTTTTAATGACTGCTTTAATTTTTGGAGATTTTCAATACTTCTCTCAAGTACCTTGCCAAAGTGACCACATTAATGTGTGAGCCTCTAAACAGAGTGCTGCTGATTCTTCTCACTAAAGTTGATGGTGAGAGCAGTGATGTATTGTCTTAGAGGTTAATTCTCTTTCATCCTGCAGAAATACCAAATTTCCAGAGATGAAACCCTGGCATAAAACACAGAAGCCACTTGTGGCAGTTTTGTTGCCATCAGTTAACTCAATAGTCTGGATACCAAACAATTATTCTGATTTTGCATCTCAGCTATTCACCAACCAAACCAGCCAATTTTTAGTCAAATTCTCTTTAATCTATTAGTTATCTGGTCATTTTCACTCAAAGAAGTAGAATTTGCACTAATCTTGCAGAATTCACAATTAGACAATTGAGCTCATTTTAAAACTCATGGGTTTTATTGTAAAGTTCATGTGTTATGAAAATTATTGACAATATCATGATTTTCCTAAATTAATCAAGAGTCAATTGAGTTTGATGGCAGTATTATTTATTGACTTGATGAAGAAAGCATCAGAAGCCTGAACATTTTATGTGAAATTTCAAATATTAGTGAAAAACAATGAATATTATATCTCTCAAAATTGGGATCAAGGGGAAATAAAGTACTCGGTGAATAGGAGAGAACTCCAAGAGAAGGAACAATAGCAGCACAAGTTCAGGAAATATGCCCAGTTACTCATTGTGCCTGTGTAATTAATATTTTAGTGCCAACAATGGGAAAACAAGATAATCATGAACCTCCAGAAGACAGTAAAGATTAGTTATAATTTTTGTAATGCAGCTGAATGCTATAGCAATGTGTCTAAATTAACAATGTCTATAACAATTCCCTATTATGACAGTCTTGTTTAATTTTCATGAAATAAAAACGTCAAATTTTACATTTGGTCAACTGCTTAATAGCACCAATGTTTGCACATTGCAAGTAAAAGGAAAGAATGAACAAATGGAATAAGATGAGACGAGTAGTATAGAGAAATTTAAAAAGAAATCACAGAGAGACAAAAGAAAGAAAAAAGGAAGAATATCACTTAGGAGCAGGAGTAGGCAATTCAGTCCCTTGAGCCTGCTGTGCCATTTGATACGATCATGGCTGATCTTACCTAGGCCTCAAGTCCAATTTCCTGTCCGCTCTCCGTAACTCTTAAACCCATTATTAACTTTAAAAAAAATCTATCGCCTCCTCAAATTTACTCAATATGCCAGCATTCACTACAATCTGGAATAGTAACTTCCACACAGTCATCATCCTTTGTGAGAAATAATTTCTCAACTAATTTAAAATTTGCTATCCCTTATCCTAAAACTATAACCTCTTGTTCTAGATTACCCCATATGAGGAAACTTTCTTTCTATGTCTACTTTATAATTCCCCTTTAGCATCTTATACACCTCAATTAGAGCTCCTCTCATTCTTCTAAACTTCAGAGTATAGGCCTCAACTGCTCAATCTATGTTCGCAAGACAAATGCCTCAACCCTAGGGTCAATCAAATAAACCTCCTCTAAATCGTCTCCAATGCAACTACGTCCGTACTCAAAGGGACGCAATGCTCCAGGTTTGGTCTTATGAATGTCTCGTATGGTTGCAGCAACAAGGTTCTACTTCTGCACTCTATTTACTTAGCATAAATAACTTCATTTGCCTTCCTCATTGCCTGCTGTACCTACATATCAGTTTTAATTATATTTACATAGCACCCTTAATGAAATATCCCAGGTGCTTCACAGGACCATTTTAAACAAGAAGAAATTGTCAAGCCACTCAGGACATTGTGCAGGTAATCAAAAGCTCAGTCAGAGATAGAGTATGGCAAGATGGCAAGGAGACAAGGCATAACAGCCAACTAGATGTTGAATGAGACTCTATGAAAAGGAAGAAAAAGTTGCAATTATAAGTGTTTTACATGACCACTGGACACCAAAATATTTTCAGCTAATGTACTTCTGAAGTGTAATCATCAAGTGTGCTAGCCAATTTGTGCACAGCAAACTCTCACAAAAGAGCAGAAAGTGATAAATCTTTTATTCATTACGGTACAAGGGCGTCACTGGCTGGGCAGCATTTATTACCCATCCCAAATTGCCCAGAGGGCAGTTCAGAGTCAACCACATTGCTGTGGATCTGGAGTCACATGTAGGCCAGACCAGGTAAGGATGGCAGTTTCCATCCCTAAAGGACATTAGTGAACCAGATGGGTTTTTCTGACAATCAACAATGGATTCATGGTCATCATTAGATTCTTAATTCCAGATATTTTATTGAATTCAAATTCCACTATCTGCCATGGCAGGATTCAAACCCAGGTCCCCAGAACATTATCTGGGTGTCTGGATTAACAGTTCAGCAATGATAGCACTAGGCTATCATCTCCTCTAATAATGATGAGGTTTTTGAGGTGTTGATGAAGTGAAAAAGAAAATTGACTAAGACATCAGGGATAACTCCCATGCTCTTCCTCAAAATAATATCCTGGGAGTTATGGCTCATCTGGAAGGCCAAATCTTCAAAAATGCAGCACTCCCTCAATATTGCGCTGGCTTTGATATTTGCATTCAAGCACTGAGCTTGGAGTGTGAAACTGGAATCATAGCTCAGGCAACAGACTGCTATAAATTGCACCACCACTAATAAAAAGAAACAAATGAGGAAGAGAAAAGATTGTCATTTACTTGTGCTAACTTTTTGATGGAATGAAAGGTACAATGCACATTGTTAGCACAACATGTTTGTGCAGGTTTCAAGATTTCTCAGACTTTATTTTTGCAAATGAACCAGTGCACTATTTTCAAGTTATATACTTTTGGTCTAAATACAAACTTCTTTTCTCTCTTTGATCTTCTAAAACAGTTTTAGCAATCAGTAAATTAAGAGCCGAAAGAAAGAAAAGTATTCCAAACAGTATAACACAAATGTACCGCATTCCTTAAATACTGCTTTGAATGCTCCAATTATATTATATATGCATTTGTCAGTACTGGAGAACAGTGCAGTGTACATTTAAAAAACTCCATTATTTAAAGTTAAGCTGGCAATCTTACAAACTTATAGTAATAAATTTTAACCTGTCATTTTTATGCAAAATCAGAATTATAAATTACTTTTCAATTACTCAATTTCAAATATCTAAAAATATTTTAGTTAAGCTTATTAGTTACCATTATCCCAATAAAACTTCTTTGATCACTTAAGAAAAATGTAGGATTAATAAAAAGACACCAAACACTACCTGAACAATCTTAAAGCAAATTGTCTAAGGCTTTAATTGAGAGTATTTGCTTTCACCACTTCCCAATAGATGTGGCATATAATTTGCAACAGACTTTGTTATATTCAACTTTTAGCTTGAATGAACTTGGAAAAAATTCAATAGCATAGACATTATGTCCATACTCCCCTAAATGTTACAAAACATAGGCCTTTGTTCTTTTATTAAATTAGTTGCTAACTTAAATAAGCCATGAAGAAAACTATTAATTCTGCTGTATCCCTGAAAGAAAAAGGTGGTATTATTGTTATAATGTCATAAAACACGACTGCCTATACATGTATCAGTAGGCACTTGAGAAAATATTGATTCTGAAGTATTTTCAACTGAACAGTATAACAGGTTATAGAATTAGGACACCAGTTATCTCCTTTACAAGGAATGGAATCTGTGTGTACCTTATACAGCATTATTGTTATCCTCCTTGAAAGGATACCCTACAATGCATTATGGCAAAAAGAAAAACACAAGGGATTCAGTTAAGTGAAAGTTAATACCATCACTTACATCAGAAATGTAAATCAAGTTTCAAATTACTTCCAAGAATAAATCCAAAAGTGAAAATAACCCTATAGACCTGCGAACAAAATTAGTGTTCACAAATATTTTGTTGTCCCAACAAAAAACTTGGTTTCAACCAAGTTAGTTTCAAGTGATAACTGGCACCTTTGAAACAAGGACTTGCTAGAAATTCTTTTGCAGGAAGAAACAAAGCACGATGAATAATAGTGTATACAATATTGACATATTTACAGATCTATACAATAGATAAGTTTTGAACCTAGTCAAAATATATGAGCACAGGGAGTCAAAGACGTCCATCATAGTTTTTGTTTAATTCATTCATGGGATGTTGGTGTTGCATTTATTACTCAGAGACAGTTAAGTTTCAACCATGTTGCTGTAGATCTGGAATCACATGTAGGTCAAACCAGGTAAGGCTGACAGATTTCTTTCCCTAAAAATCAGTAAACCAGCTATTTTTCAGAAAAAAAAAAAAATGGGCGGTGGCTATGGGGTTGTCATTAGCTTAGCTTTTATTTTAAAAATTCAAATTTCACCATATGCCATGGTAGGATTTGAAACTTTGTCACCAGAAAAATAACCTGGCATTTTGGATTGCTTGTTCAGTGACATTGTCATGAAACCATCACCTCCTCATGATCTGTCAGACCTGCCGAATATTTGCAGTACTTTGTATCTATTTCAGGATTTCCCCACATCCACAGTATTTATTGCCGAGTAATGGTTTATACAAATTTAAGTCTTTCTTTACTATTATACTATAGCGAATTATTTACATCCATTAACTGCATGGATGTTGTGAAGTGTTAATTTGAAGGTCTTGCAACGAGCTTCAGGTAATTATATAGGTTGCTGTTATACCATAGATACCAGGCTTAGTCTCCCAGCTGTAGAATGTAAGATTCAACCAATAAAGCTAAATTACTCTGCCAGCTGAGGCTATGTGCATCTATAGATGCAAAAACGTGTAGAGATAACATTAAATGCTAGGAAGACCACACAACACTGTATTTCCTGATTAATGAAATCAGCCTTGTTCATAAAGTGGCAAGGACATGTTCTGTGTTCCATTACATTTTTGTAATGTGGGTTTACTGAAGCTTTGTTATTCTACATTCAGCATGAAGCCCCAGAAATCAGAGTTAGAGACTGCCCACAAAAGAGAGTTTTGTGCTACTAGTTTTCAAACCACACAAAAAGAAAATCAAAATCCAAACTGAGTGACAATGCTGATTTTTGCATTGTGCGTATGCTACTACAGCACATCAACCCAAAAACAGCAACTTTCATAAATTAGATCTTAATGTAGCTTGTAATAAACTGTTACTCAAATATTCAAATTGGCAAACACCATCTTCATTTTAGTCGGATACCATAACAAATGGTTTGTTATACAAGTAGAACCAAACAAATCAAACGCATGTAACGTGCTTGATATACATCTGTCAATCATTAAAAGACATTACTAACCATACACACTTAATTTCCACTTCAAAAATCAAGACATTAGTTTTAAAGCAGCAATAGGTTATGGTATTTGGCAGAGTGTGGCTTTAAATTCTGGCCTTGTAAATAAGCATTTTTGTCAAAGTTACAGAAGAATATCCACGATGCTTCCATTATTTATCTAATGGTGCCTTTCAGGTAGATCCATGTAGTCAAGGTAAAAGGCATTATTCACATATGATCAAGGATTTCCTCCTCCCCCAATAACAGCCAGATCAACTAGTCCACTCCCAAAGCTTTCAGCTGCCGTTCAATTTCTTCATCCGAGATTTGAGATTTAGATGTGGATGCTGTGGGTAGACCTTTCGCTGCTGATGGAGCATTAGCCATCTGTGGACAAAACAAGTTTTACTCACATAGTGTGAAAAATATTTCATTTAAAAACAAAGCAATAAAAACAAAAGAGATGCAAATCCACTAGCAGCCAGCCAGAATTTGAGAACAGGAAACATTTTGGGTAGTGAGCCTTCACTAGACCTCCTCCATTTCTCCAAAATCTATGCTCCACCAGCCACAATGCCTGGTAAGGAGGGACCCACTCACATAAGGCTTTGCCAATACCTGCCATTGGTTCAATACCAATAGTGGCAAGATGACATGCATAAGTGAGCTTTAAGGTTCTCAAGTGACCCGAAGATTGTCCACCAGCTTCCATCCCTGGACTAAAATCACAGGGGGGCAGGAAGGCAACTGGAGCTCTACCCCTCATTATCCCACTTGTGAAACTGCTTCTAGGATCTTCCTATACTAAAATCCACAGAGTATAGGAAGACTAAAGTCATCGGATCAGACGGGTAATTTTCCTGGTGTTCTTTAGTTCCTTTAAGGCAAGGCACAGATATTCACTTTTTCAGCTTAACTGAATAGGATTATGATAAGTCTAGGCTTAGTGACTATTAGGGGAAATATTCCAAATAATTGCTATGAGTATCAAATCATTATAGTAAAACTTCCAGTTGTCCACCTATGCACCCTTTTCTTTCAACCGACACACTTAGAATTGATGCTTTAAAGACCAACGTATACTTAGAATTCACATTTTTAAAAAGTGATTCAGCAACATCACACTATAAAAATACATAATATCCATATAACAGAAGTTGGAATTTAGTCAGACTAAACGGTAGGTACAAGACTTGGGTATTCCCTTAATTACTTTTAGTAAACGTAAGAAGTACACTGCTGCATTAACCATGAAAGAATACTTATTTTTGACTAGATAAGTTCTAAACTTTGAAGTTAGTGGGGGGAGAAACTGATTGCTTGGGCATGATTTTAAAAATTTTAGACCACCACTTTCTCTGGGTGAAAAATGTCCTGAGTTGTCTTCACTGTTTTGCCTTATGTCTATGTCCAAGTTTCAAAACCCTATTCATTAAAAATGAGCTCTGTGTGAAACCGTTTGCAATTGCAATTTCAAAATGCAATTTCTAGCTTTTCTATAAATTACATAGATGCAACGATTTTCAACCACACTTGGGCTTCAAGTTTAAAAAAAAAGTAATTAGTATCAACTATGCTTCGAACTAGCTCTGGTGCTTCAAATGACAAATCTTAGGTGGGGAAAAAAAAGTTTCCCTTCATTGATTAATTCCCATGAGAGAAGAGCATTTAAATTAGTTTACTAATTTTCAAACAATTTTAGCACAATCTAAGTAATACAATTTAAGTCTTAAATTGTAAACTTTCAAATGGTTTTTCATCAAAATACTGAAAGCAAGAAAACTTGGTAGAGGTTAAACCTCCTGGCCATGGGTTTACTAGGACATTTTACAGTCAAAAAAAAGACTAAATTAAGAATCAGATAATGTTGGCAGCATTATCTCTTCTCAGTCAACAAATAATTAAAATCAGATTTCTGTCCTGAGATTATGCAGTTAACATTATAGAAATCCTAGTAAGGGACAAGGTATGTGTTTTTGTTTTAAATCTAGGTGGCCATTTTGTATTCATCGACAAGTTAAGGATGTCGCTGCACATCACAGTTAAGAGTCATTGCTGTGAATCTAGAGTCACATGCAGACACACTGGGTGAGGCCGCACTCTAGAGGGCAATGGATTCATAGTCATCATTAGACTCTTATGACAGACTTTTTAAAAATTCAAATTTCAACATCTGCCATGGCAAGATTCAAACCCAGGTCCCCAGAATATTACTTTGATCTCTGTATAATAGTCCAGCAATACTACTACTAGGCTGTTGCCTCCCTATTGCACTAGAATTTTAAATTTCCAATCTGATGGTATCTTAGTTGGATTTTCAGTTAGGACGAGTGATTAGAACCAAATACTTGTGGAAAATCAACTTGCTTTGCAGTACCAGAGTTTTTTTTTCACTGATGCACAGCAGAGGAAAAGTACAATTATAAATGAAAAACACAGATCATTTTCTGTTAGGATGCAGCTTAAACAAATAACATTTTCTAGTTTTTTGTTCAATGACAACATCTGCAGTCTTCAAATGGATATGAAATCTCTAAAAATGAAACAGGTAAATACCTTTCCAGAAATCTCAATTCCTATTTCATCCAACACCTGGTTCACAATATCTTGGCTTTCCTCTTCATCTCCAGACTCATCAAAAATGTCGTCTAATGTATCACTCACTGGAAGAAACCATATATTTAGTGTTCATATTCATGTTCCATTTGACAGTACATCACAATTCTAACTGCAATATGCAAGAACACAAGTAATAGCAATCCACTGGAGCTTGCAGCCATTCAGTAAAACCATGTCGACTTCCTATGTTAACTCTACACCATTAACTTAACCTCTACAGGTGCTTATTTGTTTATGCTTTCAGATACAGTTATTTCTTTTTGTACCATAACACCGTGAGTTCTCAGCATTAATCTGAAGGCAAGAAGGAAACAGCATTTTAATACATTATTCTGGCATGGAAAATTCACTAGCTGAAGACTTCATATACAAAGTACTAGTGTTTTTGCTTTATGAGCTAACTACTATTAATATAGCAATGCTGAGCTGCCCATTTCAACAAGACCGAATTTAACATGTGGATAATTGGTGTTTTATATTTATTTCTTGATTTTCTATCGTTTGGAGTTAGACACTTTTCTGAACTAACCTGAGCAACATTAGGAGAAGGAAGTATATGGAATAAGTCTAATCACAAGTGCCACAGAATGCGTTTGAAGCCAAAACACTGAACGTTTCCAAGAAGTTAGATACAGCTCTTAGTGCTAAAGGGTTCAAAGGGTTTTGGGAGAAAACAGGAACAGTGCACCGAGTTGGATGATCAGCCTTGATCGTACTGAATAGCGGAACAGGGCTGAAGAGCCGAATGGCCTACTCTTCCTCTTATTTTCTATGTTCTTACTCAAATCCTGAAATTCGTAATTGAGTATAGGTGATGTAAAGCATTCAAAAAATAAAGTGCAAGTAGAAGTGCATACACACTAAAACTTGTATTGAACCCTTTGTAATTCTGGAGAGCTGTTGAGCCTGTAATGTTGTTAATTGACATGTAACCACAGTGATCATAGACTATCTTGTTTAAAAGATACTTTGAATTTAATTCAATTTAACCTGCCATGATAATAATCAGCCCTTTTGCTACTGCCCCAGCCAAATGCAGCATCTCTCCTACAATAACATAAAAAAGTGAAATATTGCAAATGCTGGGAAACAAAATGCTGGAAATACCTGGCAGGTCAGACAAGATCTGTGGAGTGTTATGATGGAAAGTCACTTACCAGGAACATTAACTTTTTGCTCCACACATACAGACTGACCTGCTATGTCTCTGCAGAATTTTCTGTTTTATTACAGCATCTCCTTTCTACTTGCCACCTCGCAGGCTCAGCCAAGTACTCCAGCACCAATTTCTTCCTAGCCTCAGGCATGCCAGAACACTGGTTTCAATTCCTCTCTCATAATGAGGGCCACATTGACTATTCCAGGTTTGACTTTTCAACACTAGAGTACAGCAGCCAGTTCTCTATCTAGCACAGCTGATTTGCAGCTAATTCCCTGGCCAGCTGGACACCAAGTGTTGCTGGCAACGTTCCCGACAATCCGAACCAACCAATCACGAATCATTCAGCTCTCTTCCAAAATCCAAACTAAATGTCAGGGTCAGCTTCAAACTCTGCTCAAAACTCAATGGGCTTCATCGATTACACTCAATCCTCAAAGCCTGAGATTAAGTATCTAAATACCACTAACATTTTTCACCGTTCTAGCAACTTACAAAATCTGAGTTTATTTAGTGCATTTGAGATTACATTTTGACATAATTTATTTAATGATATATTCATACATTTAAAGTGTGTAAACTGCAATTAATGCAAGTACTTGTACAGTCAATTATTCTTAATTATTCTCAGATCTGCTTCAGCAATAGTAACTATTGATGCATCATAATTCAGGATATTAATCCTGTTCCCAGCTCAACTACCATTCTGTGCCATTATGCAATTCTAATCCCTGTTCTAAACAAGCCAGAACCTCATGGGCTGACCACTCGATTCTTTAGGATCGACCTTGAATGCTTCCAATTCCCAAATCCAGACTGCCCAATTCCCCAACTGCCATCTAGCACTTCATCCCAATCCATATCTCCACTTGACAGCAAAAAGGTCCTGTAAACCAGAACATCCCATTCCCAGAAAGAGACCTGACTATTTCTCCAAAGATTGGAGACTTTGATCTTAAACTCTGCCTCTCAAATAGGCAATTTGGATGGACAAATAAAGTTATGTTAAAGAATTTTAAACCGAAGGGAAACATTGTGTGTTTAGGATCTGAGGATATCTTGCTGTCCCATCTCTTCCCACCCTGTTTCCACCCCACCACCAAAAATACATGTTCTTAATGGAGGAGTTACCATAAAACATTTGGTGCTACTAAGATAGAACCAGAGGAAGAACTATTTAGATGCTGAATTTCCAAGTAATAAACTTTTTTTAGCCCTGGTCAGTGGATTCCCTATTGCCTTTTTTGGCTACACACATAATTTAACACTACTAAACATAAAAACTCATCACCACAAAATATGTTGAAGGCTGAATCCTTTCCTAAATTAAAAATGCAGTTTCAGAGACTAAATATTACCTATTTGTTGAAAAAGGCATCTCCAGGAAATAAAAGTCAGGCTAAGTATACGAATGCATCATTTATTTTATTATTTAATTAAAAGCTAGTAGGAAGGCAATAGGAAATCCACTGACCAGGGCTAAATAAATTTATTACTTGGAAATTCAGCATCTAAATAGTTCTTCCCCTGGTTCTAAGAACATAAATAAGCACCAAATGCTTTATAATAACTTACCCATTAACAGCATGTATTTTTGGCAGTGGGGTGGAAACAGGGTGGGAAGAAAAGGGACAGCAAGATATCCTCAGATCCCAAATGTATAATGGTCACCTTTGGTTTAAATTTCTTTAACATAACTTTTTAATAGAAATCTTACAGAAATAAAGAAGTATAGAAATCCTGAATTGACAGAAAATCTCATATCCAAATATCTTTTGAATAAGTGCTTCAGCAACACACTAGGAAATTCAATTCTCAGCAGATTTACACTAATGGCACACTTACTCATTTCTTCTGTCATTTCCATTTTCATGTTTTCTTTCTGGAAATTCTTCATAGTTTGTAAGGTCTTCTGTGGGTCCATTTTCTTGTTCACAGTTTGCATGGTCTAAAATATAAAAGTGTTTTTCAAAAAAATCTCAAATTATTTCAGTAGTATGTCAACTAATAAAAAAGGGAGAAGGACTAGCAATTTTAAATAATGTAATCCTTCTGCATCAGCTACAATTTTTTTTTTTTTTTTTTTTATTCGAGACTAATGATACATGGACCCAAACCAATGAAAATTTGCAATAGAAACCTGAACACTAATATCGTCCAGATAACAAAAATGTCATAATGGCATACGCAATGGCACATTACTCAGGCATGGTGCAATTCCAATAGTCAATAGGAAAATAAACACTTACTTTATATCAGATGGGTGTCAATGTAATTTTAACACTTATACATGTTTGCAGCAATCCAAGTTTCCTCAAGGGAAATGCACAAAATCTAAAATCCAAGGATACTTGTCCTAACAAAAGGACAAGCAGATGGGCAGAAGGGGACAGGGTTGCCTTGTTGGTAAGAACTGAAATTAAATCGATAGCAAGAAATGTTACAGGGTCAGAAGGTATAGAATCTGTGTGGGTAGAGTTGAGGAACCACAAAGAGACCATGATGGGATTTGAGCACAGGCCTCCTATCAGTGGTCAGGATGTCAGGAAGAAAATAAATCAGGAGATAATGCCTTTCATACATGCCTTTTCTTCTATCATGGAGGACTAGGGAAATCAGTAGCACATCTCAAGAAAAGGAATTCATGAAAGGTGTACGAGGCAATCTGTTTGAGGGCATGAGGGAGGCAGAAGACAGCAAACTATACACCAGTTAGCCTGACCTCAGTCATTGGTAAGATTTTAGAGTCTTATCAGGGATAAGACTGCAGAGTACTAGGATGTGTGTGGCAAAATAGGGCCAAATCAGCAAGGCTTCGTTAAAGAGAGGTCACAGCTGACAAATCTGTTTGGAATTATTTGAGAAGATAACAAGCAAGTTAGACAAAGGAGAACCAGTTGACACAATCTATGTGGATTTCCAGAAGGCCTCTGACATTGTGCTGCACAGGAGGCTGCTAAATAAGGCAAGATCCCATGGTGTTAGGGCTGAGGTAGTGGCATGAATAAAGGTTTGACTGACCAGCAAAGACAGAGTAGGGATAAAGGGGTCTTTTTCAGGATGACAGCTAGTGACTAATGGAGTTCCTCAGGGGTCAGTGTTACAACCACAACAATTCACATTATACACTAACGATCTGGATAAGAGGAACTGAGGGCACTGCTGCTAAGTTTACAGATGACACAAAGATAGGTGGAGGGACAGGTGGTCAAGGAAGCAGGAAGGCTGCAGAAGGATTTGGATATGGTAGGCAAGCTGGCAAAGAAATGGCAAATGGAATGCAATATGGCAAAATGTGAGGTTATATATTTTGGTTGGAAAAACAGACGTGTAGACTATTTTATAAAAAGGGGAAAGACTTTGGAAATCTGAAGCACACAGGAACTTGGGAATCTTAGTTCAGGATTATCTTAAGGTGGTTAGGAGTGCAAATGCAATGTTTGCATTTATTTTAAGAGGACTAGAAAACAAGAACAGAGGTGTACTTCTGAGGCTTCACAACACTCTGGTCAGACAGTATTTGGAATGCAGTGAACAATTCTGGGCCCTGTATCTAAGGAAAGATGTGCTGGCATTGGAGGGGTTCAGAGAAGATTTACAAGAATGATCTTGGGGATGAAGGGCTTGTCATATAAGGGGCAGTCGAGAACTTTGGGTCTGTACTCAATGGAGTTTAGAAGGATGATGGGGGATTTCATTGAAACTTACAGGTTACTGAGAGGCCTGGATAGAGTGGATGTGGAGGTGATGTTTCCACTAGCAGGAGAGACTAGGACCCAGGGCACAGCCTCAGGGGGAAGGGACAACTCTTCAGAACTGTAATGAGGAATAATTTCTTCAGCCAGATGTGATGACTTTGTGGAACTCATTACCGCAGGGGGCTGTGGAGGCCAAATCATTGAGTACATTTAAGACTGAGACAGATAGGTTATTGATAAGCAAGGGGATCAAGGGTTATGGGGAGAAGGCAGGAGAATGGAGTTGAGAAACATATCAGCCATGATTGAATGGTGAAGCAGACTCAATGGGCCGAATGGTCTAATTCTGCTCCTAAAATCTTATGGTCTTAAAATCTAGGGATGCATAAACCTGATTCTATGTCCCTCTTTCCTATATGTCTGTATAAAATAGAGAGCAGTTTATTGATGCTAGCAAACTAAAATTTCATTTTAAAAAAAAGGCAACAGATTAAAATGAAGCATAATAACATTTCCTATTGGGATAGAAACTGCCGTTCTAAATAACTTTTTACTCATATGACAAAATTCTGTAGGGAAATCCTAGAGAAAAAAAACACATCTGTACTCCTGGCTAATTATATAATCAATTATTTGTTGATATTTCCCCAAGGGTATCCTCAGTTCTATATTACCCAACATTTACAGCAAGAGCCCAGTCCTTAAAGAGACAAATTGCATTAAGCCAATTGCTCCATAATTTGACTGCAAATATTTACCAGTTACTTGTTGTTTTAGGGATGATATTCAATAGACATTATAAAAATACACCCTAAATTTGATTCCCATTTTAATCCCTATAAAGTATCTGAACACATACAAAATGATCCAAATGAATTATCACGTTTTTATTTTGTCTGATCTATTTTTCTGCAGTATCAACTCCATTTAATTTGTTTGCTCTTCACACAATTGTTCTTTTTCACAGGGTCTTCTAACATCTGGTATGATATTGAACACACTGAAGAGACATTGCTAACACTCAGTTATTTCCCTAAGGCAGTGAAAATTCAAGGGAATTTATCCCTTATATGCATCCAATGGGAAAACAAAACTCACAAGTAAAATATTCAAGGCCAACTTGAAATAATTTTGTTGTTACTCTGCAGTGAACCCTATTTCCACGAGGAAGACACTCAGGTGAGATGTGACAGAGCTCATCACAACCAGACCTTGAGAGCCAGCAATTTTGAATTTATAATAAGTTTAGTGAAACACAGACATTCTTACCTCATTTTAAATTTCTTCCTTTTAAAACCTAGTGAAAAATTGAAAACTTTCTGCAACTTTCATAATTTCTTTGAAATCTGCATCACTTAACTGCACATGCATAATTTAGACTTCTATATATCTGAAGTTGTTTGTAAAAAATTTAAATTCTGTTTTGATATCAGAGCTAGTTCCCAAAATTACAAAAGGAAAACGGAAAGCCATTTGATCTTTTAATAGTAGTTAATCAAAGTTCTCACCAATTTTAAAAGGTTTTGTGAAAAGCTTTGTAAAATAATATTTTGTTTATATGCAAAGAATATCTAAATACTACTTTAAAGTACAATACCTGTATGTGCCATAATGAAATGTGCTTTAAAGTCTGTTTCATCTCCAATCTCCTTCACTTGCTGCCAAGGCTCTACCCAGCAAGATATAAAACTGCAGAAGCCCTACTGTGCCCTCACATGAATCCAGACTACACAATTTTATGGGAGATCAAGAGAATCATGCCTTACATACCCACTGTTAAGAGACTGACAAATCATAAAGTGAGGGCAAAGAACCCCAAGGGAAGCAGGCTGCATAAAATAGAACTACTAACAGGACAAGGATGCAAAATTCCATTTGTACTGAAATGCCTCCTTCTCCTACAAGGAGTTAATCTCTTATTTATTAACATAGAATTAAAGTCAGAATTTAATATACTACATTTACTTTAAATTATACACAAAGGATTCTCTACAATCTTTACGCCCAGATAAATTGTGCTTTTATCAATATTTAAAAATACAAAGGATATTTTTTCAAAAATGTACCTTTGTTGTGGTGGCCATGGCACCAGCCATCTTCATCTGAGAATTCATTAATTTAGCCTGGGTGGACATAGAAGTGACCTTTGAACTCACAGCATATGTACGGGTCTTCTGTTTCCGCAACTGCACCAGTTGTTTTGCAAGAACCTTGCAAACGTCTTTGTTGCCAGTCTTGGCCATTTTCTTAATTTCCATTTCCTGTAAGTAAAATAAATACCAAGCATAAAAAGAGGGAAGAAAGAAATCTTCTAATGCAAGAAAACTAAAATTAAAACATTAAATCCGAGAAATACAGATGGTTCATCAAAACCTGTAACATGCAAAATTAATTGGCACGTGCAGATCCTTCACCAACTCAAAAAATAGAAACGTCAAGTTAAGATGTACTTAGTTCTGTCCAGTCTCTTTGACACCACCAAGCTGACATCAGCTCTCACCTAAAAAAATCCACTGGTGACCTTGCTGTCTTTGCAAACTACCACTACATCTCTAGCCTGCTTTTCTCTCCCAAAACTATGAATAAGCTGTCACCTTCTGAAACCTTTGTCAATAATTCAATGTTTGATCGCCTTAAATCAGGGTCCACCTTTTCAGCATCAGTGGTGAGGGAGTCAGTATTTGTGGATGCGGTGCCAATAAAGCAGCTTCTTTGACTTTAGTAGTATCAGGCTTCCTGAATCCTGTTGAAGCTGCAATCATTCAGGCACATAGAGAGTATTGCATCACACTCCTGACTTGTGCCTTGCAGATGGCGGAAAACCTTTTGGGAAGATAGGAGGCGAGTTACTCGTAGTAGGATTCCCGAGCTTCTGACCTGATCTTGTAGCCATTGTATTTATATGACTAACAGAGTTCACTTCATGGGGAGTGGTACCCCCAGGATGTTGATAACAGGGTATTTAGTGATGACAACTCCACTGAATGTTAATGGACAAAGGGTAGATTCTATGACGTGCTTTTAGTCTTCCATATTTAGCATTTCCTGTGTAGTATGAGATTTCATTTAACAGTGTTACAGTGACAACTTGCTTTCTACCAGCATAAATAAAAAGATTTATCTGGTGTCACATTACTCTATTATGAGTGCAGTGTTTTCAAAAGTAAAAAGGTTTTCTTCTTGAAAAGAATGAAAGCTAACTTTCAATACGAGATGAGCAAGGAGACAATGGTCATGTGATGTCATGAATAGCTGTCCTGTGGTCACTGGCCAAAAGGCAGATTAACTGACACAATGCCAATTATCTGCTGCTAGAAACAGGGTAAATTAATAAGTGTTCGGGGGTCCAGGGTGGTGCTCATCAGGCAGTCTTTGGAGGCAGCAGTTCTCATTGGGCAGACTTGATAGAGCAGTCTTCTCCAAATCAAAGATGGACCAAAACATGTGACAATAAAAGGATATTGTATTGTAAAACAAAAAAGATGAGGGGGGAACAGATCCCCAACACCTTGGTTAGACAGCAGGATACTGCTTTCAAACTTTAACAAGACCATCACATTCCATTCAATTTGTCATTTGATTTCAGTGGATCATCCCCAATTCTCAAGGTTATGTACTTTCTTTATCTAATTAAACAATGCATATCTTCGAGACTTCTGTTTGTTAAAGTTAAATTATCAAAAAATTGTTTACAAAGCGTCAACTTTCTATATGCGATTATGAATGGTCCTTAATGAATACTTTTCTTCAGTATTCACAACTGAGAGGGATCTAGTTACAGAGGAGGACGTTGTGAAACAGGCAGGTGGGCTAGAGGAGGACGTTGTGAAACAGGCAGGTGGGCTAGAGGAGGACGTTGTGAAACAGGCAGGTGGGCTAGAGGAGGACGTTGTGAAACAGGCAGG